AGTGTGTTGCATTTGAATTTGATCTCGAATAGTTATTTCGACTATTTGATCGATTATAATGATTTTGTGAAGAATTCTGTGTATTTCTTCGTTCTGGTGATGTTCCTCTATAACTTGAGTTATATGGTGATTGATTTCTTGTGTAATTGGTGTTGTTCGGAAGTAGTTTTCCTGAACTGTTGTTACTGTATACATTTTTGTTTGGTAGATTTCGATCTTTCTTCATATACTGATAAAATGATTTATTTGGTTCTTTATACTTTTGAGGTTTGTTTTGGTTATCTTGTTGTTTTTGTCTACATTCGGAAATACTATGTCCGTATCGTCGGCAATAATTACACCATTTTTTGAAAGATGGTTTTCCTTTAAAATTTGGGTGTTTTTCATAAATATTTAGTATTTCAGTGATTTTTTCAACTAAGTCTGTATCTGATTCCTGTATCTTATTGATATGTGTAGTGTTTGTTTCAATTCGATTAACATATTGTAGCTTTAGATTTTCTGTTTCTTCAAGTTTCATTGCGATTTCCGCTTGCTCTAGTTTGTCTACTAGTTTTCGAAAATCTAAATCTGGCTGTCGAATTGAAGAAGGATGAGATGCTCTCTTTTTTATTGCTATTTTCCTTAATTGAGGTGTTAAGGTCATCATTAAAATTTCTGTCATTTTTGTGTTTTTATAGTCATGTGTATTTAGTGAATATGCTTTTCGAACTAGTGTTTCGATACGTACTGCTAATTGTTTAATGGTTTCATTTGGTAATCTGCGAATTTCATTACATAAAACTCTTTGGTGTTGTTTATTTCTTTCGGAGTCAAACATTTTTGAAAATTCTTGTGTAAATTTTTTCCAGTCTGATTTTATTTCTATAGGTAATACTGAAAACCATTTTTGAGCTGCACCATCTAAGGTTCTTTGTATCAACGCTGTGCGTCGATGTATCCAATTTTGATGTAGTGGCGTATTAATTGGTTCAGGTCCTATATTTAAAATTAAATTTGCTGTTACTGCGTTTAAATAATCTTCTACAGAATATTCAGGATCTGTTCCTGTGAATACCATTAGTGGTTTATTTGATGTTATTGTTGATCCGCCCATGAGGTATGGATTCATTGTCATCTGTAGTGACTCTGCGGCATTTGGCATTTGCGAAAAATTTGAAAGTTGATTTTTTGTTATTTCGTGTTGCTGAAGGTGATATGGGAGTGGTATTTCATTTTGCAGTTGAGTTGGTTGATACGAGTGCATAGTCATTGGATTTTGTGGTTGAATTGGTTGAAAAGATTGTATATTTATTGGATTTGACATATGGATTGGTTGTTGATTTCGTGTATCTGTTGGATTTGGAGAAAAAATTCTATTATATGTATGAGGTCGTCGCGATCCTTGTTTGCGATATTCTTGGGTATATGGTGCAAAAATGTCTGGTAGTAAATAATCATCATCAGATGATAAGTAATCCGTATGATGAGGTGCTTGCTTTTTATTTTTATTTTGTTGAAAGAATGGATAATTTTCATTATGGTCCTGTGGAGGATGTGAATTAGTCCGAAAATTTACTGAGTTGGTTGTTGTTATTGGGTTATCCCAATAGTGAGAACTTTCATGATTATTATTAGTTTTTCGTGGGGGATAATTTGTTTTTGATGAAAATGTGCATAATTATAATTGTGTTCTGCAAAAGTGTTTCTTGTGAACGTTCTTCGTGGTTTTGATGGTACTGTCATAGGTCTATATGTTTGATAATCCATTTGTGAATATTTTGGAGCAACCGAAGGTTTAACGGTTGATTGTAAGGTTACTTGTGCCAATGAAGTATTTTTATTTTTTGGTGTTGTTAAATTTGGATGTATTGGTGAAATACTTTGTTGTGTAGTTGTTGTTGTTTGGACAATTCCTTCATTTATGAAGTGTGATGGTGTTTGGATATCTTGTTGTGTAAGATTTCTAGTTCCATTAAGGTTTTCATTATGTATGACGGTCGAGTTTAAACTGTTATTTCGCGTATCGGGTAAAAATGTATTGTAGTTTAATGGTGTTGCATCAATGGTTAGTGGTACTACTTTTACATAATCTCTTTGGTAAGATATTGTACTTATTGCTTGACTTGAGATTGATTGTGGAATATTTATGAATGCATGATGAGACCATTCAGGGTCCCAAACGTAGTCTGATTGTTCTGTAATGGCAGTATCATCATTTGGATTTTGAGGTCTGAAATTTTTTCTTGCTTGTGAAAGTAAGTCTATATTATGTGTGAAATAATCTATTATAAACCATGCCAAAATTTTTTGTAAGTCATGTTTTGTGTGTTGTGAAACATCGTCTTTAGTGAAATTTTCTTTGATTATATGTAAGAAAGTTGAAAATAATGTGATTTCCTGTCGTACTTTTGTATGTTTGGATGTTTCAGTTGGTGAGATACTTTGAAATTCTGTTTTTTCTAATATAAAAATATAGGTATATATTATTGCAAAAACTTCGTTAGTGAATATGGAGTTTGCTCTTTGTGAATTATGATATTGTATGCTTTTAATATATTCTAAGAATACTTTTGAAAGTTCTAATTCAAGATCGTCTGTTTGAATTACATAATTTCGATGATTCGGATTTGGTGTGCTGAATTCTATGGTGTAGATTCCGTATTGTTGTGTACAATTACATATATCTTTCAGATAATGTTCAATAATTTGTCTTTTGATTTCACATCTGGGAATTCTGCTTTGCATGGGCTGATTCCGGGTTCAAACAAATTTAAGAGTAAATTCTTGCAAAAATCATGTTGCCCTCTATTATCGGGTGCATCTATGAGGAAGGGGTAAACCTCTTCGTCATCTGGACTATCGTCACTTTGAGTGTGGCTGTGGCTCATTTTTTCGTTTAATGACTGTTAATATATAACTATCAATGTGTCTAATTGGTTGATTCCAATTATACAAGTGTACTGGTTTGTGTTTATATTGCTTTTTTATTCTTCTTTTTCCTCTTTTTGATGAGTTTGAAGTTGTTTTTGAATCGGAAAAAAATAATTGATCGTGAATGGGACAATTTTTATCAATTGATTCCTTTAATTTGTAGAGTTCATCTAAATTGCTGGCTTCTGATTCTGAAAATGCGTTTCTATTTTTTGAAAATTTTTTTCGTGTGATTTGTCTTTGTTTGTTTATTATTTTTCTTTTTATTGTTAGTCGTTTTGTTCTAATGTATCCAACTGTTTGTGTATGAGGTGTGATAACAAGATCGTATTTTTGGTTATCTATCTCACAGTTGTGTAAAACGATTGTTTGTTTGTTTTCTAGATTTTTGAATGACATAAGGTTTAGGATGAGGGATGCAAAAAGTTGTTAGGTGATTTCTATTTTCTTAGACTGTTAGTCCTTACGATTTTTTGGTTAGCTTAACCTGGGTCTTTTTGTTCAGGGTTGGAGAGAAAAGTATATTGATTCCGAAGAATGATTTTTTACTTTTTCGTGGCTAGTCTAAGCTAAGGTGTTAACTTACTTAATCTTACTTAGGGGTAATGATTGTGTTCAAGGGTTGGAGAATAGTAAATCGATCCACAAGAGTCAGGTATAATTAGAACGCAAGTAGTTCGTTAGATACTATTTTAAACTTACTAAGTCTAATATTTATCCTGGGTCTGGTAAGAGGAGGGTTCAAGTGAAGGATGAATAACCGAAGTTCTTCACTGTTTATCTTAATTTGAATGGTTAGTTTTATTTAAAAATTTCTATTAATCTTGGGTCGTTTGGAAGGGTTGGATAGTGAATCGACGTTTGAGGTCGTTTGACACTTGCTAAGTGAGTGGGGGAGAACAAAATTGTTCTTTTTGATCCAAGGATAGGCCTTGATGATCAGGTTTTAAATTTAGTGAAATAGAAAATTAATTAAGATCCAAGGATAAGCCTTGATGATCTGTTTTTAAAATTAAGTGAAAATTTAAGTATAAAATTGTTTAAATTTATTTAAGGAAAAGATTTAGTTCAATGATATTAGTGAACTTATGATTGCTGTTATGTTTAGGTGATAAAGTTGGGACAACAGATGATTTCATGATTACTAACAATTTATTCTCATGCTACTAATTTTTATTTTCATTTTCAATAAATATTTTTCAAACATGTTTTATATAAGACTGCAGAAATTAAGAAAACGATCTGAGATCTTTTTATCAATCGTTATTGCATATTAATAATTTTGTTTAGCGCCTGAAATGATCAAGAAGATTGACTTCAAAATTTTATGTTTGCAAATGAAAATCTAAATTCATTGCTAATAAGATTCTAAATATAAAAGTTTGTGTTGGCTTTTGCCGTACGATCATAAAACTATTTGGTAAGTTTCTACTTTGTCGTATGTCGTCTCTTGTTCGAGTTCTTCTTCCAATTCCGGGTAGTTCTGTTATCGTTCGGAATATCGGCTCTGATCTATTGAGTCGTAGAGACATTTCGATTAAATTATTGTCGTATAAATTTTTAAAAATGTTTTGTCTAAATTCTAATCTATTTTTTGGTTAATTCTAAGCTATTAAGGTCTTATTCGAGACTTATGGTCGCACCAGATGAGTTAGGACCGATGTGATTAACTCATAGAGTAATTTCGGATAGGGTACACCGTCTGCTCGTCACGCTATCTTATTTTCGGCCGGATAGATTCGTGCAACTTCTTAGTCTAATACCGATCCTAATCTTACTCTTATACTTTCTAGTCTCAGGGTGTTTAACTAGTCTCTGCTAGGCTCAATAGATCTAGGGTATACTGGTTTGTTGCGGCTACTGAAGTTCTCTTGGAGAGGCAACTAATTTCTAAGTTAAATTCAAATCTCTCTGGTGCTGAAATTACAAGTAATTTCAGCACTTACAAATAAGTGGGTTGTTAGTTAGATGGATCATGATTGGTTAATATTAAATACGTTACAGTGGTAAAATATCTAATTTATCCAATCATAAAATGTAGTTTGGATCAGGTTCCACTATGTATGTTCCAGATGAGAAATACATACCAGTTCTTCTTCGGTGGCAGGGACGTTGTCGTAGTATGCGACTGCGTACACTATGAGAGACTGGCCTGTGAGCGAAGCCCTCTGTCGTCTCTGCTCACTCAAGTCAGTCACTGTCCACGAGTAGTGGATGCCAGAGGAGTTGAGTTGTTGCCAGTCAATGGACAGCGCAGCCGGAGGGTCTGCAACAAATTAGAACGAATAAGTAAGTACAGACAACAGAGAACTGGAAAACCTCAAACAACTAGAAAAAAATAAAGACAATCTAAACACTTGTTCTTCTAACTTATGAATATCACATAAATAACAAAAAATATCACATTAGAAATGATTTTTGAAAAAGTTGTTGTGTTTATTCCGAAAAACGTGTCAAAAACGTTCTCAGCGTGAAAACACAAAAAGTAGCACATACTTTACTGCCCAAGTTTTCCTGCAGAGACTTTTTAGTTTTTAGTCATTGTTTTTTTGCGTGTACTTTTTTAAAACTTTTTCGAATTCGAGTCACGTTCAACAGAAATTTGATATGATACCACAGTTAATCTTACAAGTTTTTTAATTACATAATATCGGGCAAAAACCCACTCTACGCCACAGTTCCTTCTAGAGTCACTTTGTGACGTAATCGGACCATGAATTTTTGAAAAACGAAACAGTTCGAATCGCATTCTTGATTTGACGAAAGATGTTGACTCTGAGATTTGCAGTACTCACATGAGCATGAGCATAGCGCATCGAAGTATGCATGCGTGAAGTTTGTGAAGGTCAATTGTGATTCTCCAAAGTAAGCGTTGTCTTCTGTGTGTTGTCTGGTCTGGTCCACGTAGTCCTCATAGTCTAGAAGCCACTCCCTCCTGTCTCTAACCGATGTCTCAAGGCCATTCCACTTGGCACGGATGTCGTAACAGTAGAAGGACGCTTGGGTCAGCCCTGAAACAAGATGCCTTTTTAAAATTTGGAAGCAGGGGAACAATCTAATCCTAAACCAGCCAAGCGAACATTATTTCCTCAAGTTTAAATGCCAATTTTGACTGCATTCAGCCAACGTACAAAAAATTCTTTATGAAGGGATGTTAAGTGTCAAAATTTGTTACCTTGAATGTAAATTTACACTCTGTTAGGAGGCGCCAATCTATGATCGGATACTAGGGAGAAGGTCGTAATAAAAGTTTAACAGAACCTACCACTCGAAACGTATGGTGAAGTGGTTTGGTCCTCAGCTATCACATTGCACCTGGTGTAGTTCGAATCACACTCGTAGATGTCATAGGTCAGCACTTCGGGAGAGGTCACGACAGTCCACGCGATACTGATTGAGTTTTCGTCCACTGGGGTCAAAGCTACGCCCTGAGGGGGGTAGGGTGCGGTAATTCCTGTCTCCGTGACCCCATTGCCATTGTATGTCGAAGTAGTACCAGCACAATAGTAGTAAGCTCTGACCTAAAAAGATGACAAATTTTGTTTATTCAAGCGAACTCGGATGTCAAGCACAGGGACTTACTTCATACCTGTCTATGATTTTTATTAAACTGGACCCAACCGTTTAAGAGCTCGGAATAATCTGCAAAATGCAAAGTGGCCCGAGTGCAGCTACAATTAAAGAAGCCTCTGCTGGTAACCCGGAAAAAAGGAGCTCCGCTATCCACAGAAACCAACAATCAGAAAGAGCTCTTCAGCGTTTAGCATGATTCAGAAAGTCAATTTTCTGGTGGATAAGTATCCAGCGGTTGCAAATTTGAAAAAGTGCACTTTAAAAACAGTAAGCCATCTACACTTCAATCATTTTTATTCTTTCCGATGGTTTTTCGGCTTACTCAATGTTTACCCATTAGAAAAAAATTGCTTCATTTTTGAACAACTAAATACAAATTGTACCTCAATAACGTAGACTGTATTAGGGTTCAGAGTCTTCACTCCGGCGGTGACCTTGGAATTGAAGAAGGCAGCTAGTTGCCCGCCGGTATTCTCGATCTCGAAGTCCGAGGGGGTCTCGGAATTGCGGAAGGAGTACTGGAACTCATATCCCACATCCTGCCACTCATCTTCGCCTGTCACATTGATTTTGATCTCAAATCTGAACAGAACGAAAATGTGAGTTGGATAAAACCCAGTAATTTCATGACAAAAGAAACTCGATATGAAACCTTTCTTCTCGCCGACTCCTATAAACGCCACGTAAATATCTAAACACTAGCTAAGATAGTCCTTTTTTTAAATGCTAGGCTCTGAAAATTAAATAGTCAGTTTTTTGACTTGTTGTAATTCACAGTCAAGTTATCATTTACGACGCTGACAGTACTGACTGTTTTCACTTCCCGGCCTTAGAAATGTTACTAGCTTAGCTATGCAATGATCTGAAAAAATGAGTGCCAACCCGGTGACTCTGTTTCCCATTGGAGCATTCCATCGCACGTTGATGCCGTACCAGTAGTGTGTCGTAGTTCTCAGATTCTGCACCACCTCCGGGTCTAAAAGCGAAGAGTTAGGGGCGTACAATGATTAGTTAAAAGCTTTTTTTTACGCGCCGTAACGGTAAGATTTAGCCTAATTGTTGTGATAAACTTATTGAATAGTTTCAGAGCAATGAAAATCATCGCTTGATTTTTCGAGCAAACGAAAGCAATTCTTTACGTCTGATTTTCAAATGACAAATAGAAATGACTGCAGAAAAATTGAAAAAAATTCTGGATTCAGCGAGTTTAGACCCAAATGTTAAAGAATAATTCCAACTATTGATTGAAGAAAACAAGGAACTTACGAAATCTGTTATTCAGCTACAATCCAGTGTGCAACAGCTTAGTATTAAAACGAATGAACTACGATCGCCTCCAATTATTGCGAAATTTATACGATTTGACCAAAAGGTATAAATTAACGAAAGTTTATCAAAACATGATTCGGGATTGAAAATTGAAGCTGAATCGAGAGGAATTGAAGCTTTCTACATGGAGTTCTACTCCTTTTGTGAAAGGTAAAGATATCGTAGGAAATTTTAAATTGTCAAGGTGGATACTATGGAGGAGTTGGATGGCCTAAGCAGCACTGCGGTTATCAAAGTCAACACCATCAGGTCAGCTAAAACTAATTCGGAAACTTTGTATAGTAAGGTTTTGAAGGACAATATAACACCGGTTAAAAAGCGTTTTGGCTTTCAAATTTCACCATCACCAGCCTCTACAACTAACGAAGAAATGCAAATTCTGAAAAGTGAATTGTTCAAGCATATGGATGATGATAATGCCGTATTGGATTTCATTAAAGGATTCGTGGGCGGTATTATGCAGTCATATGAAACAGTAAGCGATGAGAAAAGTACTTTCAACATACAACTTAATTTAACCTTAACTCAACCAACTAATTTATTGCCTTAATTTTAGTTGGACGTGGAAAAATTAATGGAGGCAAATACTGGGGGAGCTGAGAGCGTTTTTTTCTTAATATAAGTTCACTTAGATTATATCATGACCAGCTTTGTGTTTTGGTTGATTCACTCAAGAAAAACTTTTAGTTATAGCTTTATGCGAAACATGGTTGACCGAAAATGATTGTTTGGAAATGTCTCAGTTGGATGGTTATCAGAAAGGGGTTTTTAAAAATAGGGAAAAAAGGGGTGGTGGTGTTACTTTTTTGTAAAAACTGGAGTGTATTTATTCTTCCAAATCTTAATTCAGATTTGGAAAACCTAGCTATAACTATTTGCAGCAATTTAACTAAGTTTAAAATTTACGTTGTCTACAGACCACCTGATCACACGTCTCTAAAATGTTTGGAAAGTCTGGATACTCTGTTGAATGAACTTCGATTTTAAAAAGGAACACCTATAATTGTGGGAAATTTCAATATTGACATATTTTCCAATGATAAGAAGCCAGAAGTTTAAATTATAAATTGCTTCTGTAATTTTTTAAATTGGATATTTTATTGAGTGAACCAACCAGAGTCACTTAAAATAGTGCAACCTGTATTGATCATTGGATATCAGAAGGTTTTTTTCCAGTGACAGTTATTAAATCAACATTTAGTGACCACTATGCATTGTTTGGTGAATTGCCATTTACTATCGCTAAGGCCGCTAAAACGGTTTATTATGAACAAATGTAAAAATACTGAATCGTGACGACAACCTCCTTAAACTACTATTTCTCCTACATATCGAATTGGAAAAATTGAGCGTAGTTAATTCCGTAAATTTTAAAATTCAGTTTTTAATTCGGTCAAAGATCAATGTTTTCGATAGGTTTTGCCCTTTCAAATTAGTTGTTATCAAAAAACATTCAAAAAAACGTGGATAACTAAAAATGTTAAAAAACTGTGCAAAAATAGAGATACTTCGCATTAAAAAAATGATTACTTTTCCCAATGATGAATCAAAAAGAAAGTTCGAACAATTGAGGAATGAAAAAAAAAACAAATTGATAGAAAAGCGAAAGTTTTATGACAAGGAATTGGGTAACTCTAATGATTCAAAAAGAATGTTTCAAGTTTTTAATAAGTTTTGTGGAAAAAAGAAAACTAGTTCAAATAAGTTAGAGGTGAATGATTTGAATAACTTTTTTGATGTCACTGGACCTCAACTTTCAAAAAAAATTTGGGGATTTCAAATATGTTGATAGAATCTCTCGCAATTGCGCGACTTTTGTTTCCTTTCCCACTGACTTTGACGAAATGGCAAAAGTTATTAAGAATTTAAAAAACAAACATTCGACTGGTCATGATGGGTTCAGTAACATGATGGTTAAACTTTGTGCGCCTGTCATTATGAAGCTCATGGTTGTTTGCTTTAATGAAATGTTCATCAAAGAGACTTTTCCTGATATTTCCAAATTTGCCAAGGTAATTGATTTATTCAAAAGTGGAAGTGACATTGATTTTGATAATTACAGGCCATTTAGCTTTCTTTCAACAATTAGCAAAGTTTTTGAAAAACCTATATACCGAACAATGATAAATTTTTACAGAAATTCACAATACTTTGTGCTGAACAATTTGAGTTCAGACCAAAGCACTCATGTTTAGATGCAATTGCACGGATAACTGAATATATGCGCACAGTTTTGGAGCAAAAAGATAAAAGAATGGCCCTCTTTCTGGATTTTAAAAAAGAATTTGACACTGTTAACTATGATATTCTAATCATTAATTTAGAAAAATATGGCTTTCGTGGAAAATATTTAAATTTGTTACGAAACTATTTAACTAACAAGGTACAAAATGTGACTGATGGTATCATAAATTCGTCTTTAGAAAAAATAACTTGTGGTGTGCCCCAGGGCTCAGTTTTGGGTCCTATATTGTTTTTGATATAATTCAATGACATTTCAATTGTTAATAAAGTAACTGAAATAAGTCTTTTTGCTGATGACACTGCAATTGTAGGTTCTAAAAAACCCCAATGTTTAAAAAAGAATTCAGCAAAGATGTCCGGAGCCTAAATGACTGGTGCAATGTCAACAAGCTATCGATTAAAACAGACAATAGCAAGCTAATGGCTTTTGAAAAAGATCTATCGGATTCCAAAATTTCAATTGCTGGCCAAACTATGGAAAATATGGATAGTTTTAAACATTTGGGTATCGAAGTTGAGAAAAAACTAAATTTTATTAATCAAACTGAAAAAATTTGCAAAAAAGACGTCGAAAGTCAATGTTGTTTTGTACTGAGGAAGATCATATTTCTCTAAGCAGTCATTAGTTAAGTTTTACATGGCATACGTGATTCCGATAATTTCCTATAATTTGATAGCGTCCGGATGTACTTCGAAAACAAATCTTGATAAAATGTTCTTGACACAGATTATAAAAAAATTATAAGAACCATTTTTTTTGTAAGTATGATCATGTGTCGGAGTGTTTTTCAAAATATGAGCTGCAAAATGTGTATGAAATGTTCATCAGCCAATTTACTTCTGAGGCAAAGTTTCAGTTTTTAGAAGTGTCTCCCTTAAACTTTTTAAATCTTCAATCAAAAAACATGGGTAGACTCACGCGCAGGGGTAGCTTAGGATGTTTGGCACTACCTTCAAGAAAAACAGAAGTAGCTCAAAATTCCGTGTCTTACAGAACTCTTAAATGTTTCAATTTTTTGTTGTCAAACGATTTGTTACCCCTCAACCTTAACAAATATTCTAACAATCAAAGGAAAGATTTTTCGTCAAACTTGGAAAAAAATACCTGAATGACAATCGATTGCTTGTTGACATGCTAATAGGATGATTATATGTGGTACCCAAGGGTTCAACTCTACTAACTCTGTTTTTGCCTTGACTTATTTACCTAGGTTTTCCTCGGGTTACTGGCAGTTGGGCTGTACTGCCCGTACAGTAACCCTGATGCAGTTTGTTAGTTCATTAATGTTCTCTAATTTGTATCTAATTCAAATTTAAACCCCTCTTATCGAAAATCAAAACAAGTTGCAGCTTTTTCCTCATTTTTCAATTCTTGGAAGGACAAACTTTGAACTCCATTTTGAGTTAAGTTGATCACGATATGAAAGAATCGGTTCAGTTTAGCCTAATTTGGCCGAGGAATATCTAGCCCATAAAGCTCCAAAACAAAATTCTATGAATTAAGTCGTGTTTACTATAATGAGTTTGGTATCTTTATAGAAAAAATTGCTTACTTTTGACTACTTTGTTTGGTATCTTTATACCTTGTTTGGTATCCTTATACTTTGTTGAGGATCCTTTAAATTTGTTTGCTATCTTGATAGAATAAGTTGCTAACGGATATTTGTTTTTGTCTATTTTGTTTTACAAACGTCCATCTTTGACGCACAAAAACTATTGCGCCATAAATCACAGAAGTTTTAAGTAATACATACGCTTTCGACTAAAAACATGCCGTCGTTCAAAAACTTTAGCCCAAAACTACCAAATTAACACAAAGGTCAAGGAACAAATGTAGCTCCTAAAGGGTCAAAAAAGGGGAGAAATCAAAAATAAAGATATTTACATTAAAACAAATCAAAAAACAAAAAATACTGATAAATGTTTTTTCAGTACCAATTAACAAAAAATACTGATAAATGTTTTTTCAGTACCAATTAACTAGCCAAATGCAATTTAAAAAGATTATTTGCGAGGTTAAGTAGTTGGTTCATTCAGTACTGAGGCAAAAACGATCATGCGCCCACAAGCAGAACTACTGAGGAGATCCTGGTAAGGGTGCCTGAAGTTAATGGAGAACTTAACATTTCATGTAAGACAACGAGATCTACTGGAAGAGTTTGGAGTCTCCGATATCCTGTCAACCTTCAAAACAAGAAGAGCAGGACTCATGGGCCCATTCGCACGGATGATGCCTGATAGAGCTCCTTCCATTTCATTTTTGTTTTAGTTAATAACAGACAAGAACCAAAAACACGACGAGGCAGAAAAAAAACATAATGAACCGTTACCAAGAAGTCATAAGAGCCATGCCGGACATTAGCGACAAGAACAGGCCACTCCAGGCACAGAACCCGAAAACCT